GCTCTTGTAGCCTATTTTATTTTTTTAACTAATCATTCATCAGGTTTCCCAGCCCCTTGCAGCCCCCACAGTCCTCATGTGCCAGCTGTCCATCCTCACACCTTTTCCATTTTGGGGTGCTCCTGCCTGGGCAGCCCCTTCTGCAGTGCTGAGAGTGTCTGCCCCGTGCCTCATGGTTCCCGAAATGCCAGAGCCGTGTTCCTGGCTGCCGGGACGTGCTTTGCTCGCACTAACAGAGCGAACATCTCCCAGTCCCGGCACCCACTCCCTGCTCTCGAGGCAGCGGGCCAGCACTGGGGCCCCGCTCAGCCACAGACTTTGTTTCCAGTCCTCTGCTCAGCTTTTGGCTCCTGACACTTCGTGCACGGCACAGTTCACTTTTTTTTGCCAAGGCAAGCACACAGCACACATATGTTCTTTGTTTTTCTAACTCGATTCCTAAAATTCACACACTTCCGCACGCTAAAACTTCTCTCCGCACGAGTTAACCATCAGGATTGGCAGTGTCCTCGCTCACAAAAACAAACACAGCATTCTGGAGTGCAAACCAGCCCAGCTCTCTCTCCTCCAAGGAAGCATATGCTTTGCAAAGTGCCACAGGTTTTTTGGGTTGTTTCAAGCTGGCCCACCCACTTTTTCCTGAAGCTGAAATAAAGCGAGAAGAGCAAACATTGCACAGGGTTTGCCGTCATCCCTGCTCGCGCCTTCTGACTGCCACGTTCAAGGCATGAAGGTGCTGCTCCCTGCCCTCTGTTCCTGCCGGATCCAGCTGTGACTTTGCACAAAGGCAGCAGAAAAAGAACAGCTGCCCAGCCTGCTCCTCTCTTTAATAAAAGAAAGGAAACCCAGCCCCTTCCCAGCTAAAATCCAGGACACCCGCCCCACGTTGTTGGGCAGAAACCTCCCTGTTTTCGCCCCCTTAGTGTCACAAAGCTTGTAGTCCCCAAGCTGGGCGGCCACGCACCCCTCCAAACCCCGGGGAACAGGCAGCACAGCGTACTTCACACGACTTGAATCAAAACATGTTTTTTTCCTGTTAAAACTGCGAGATTTGCCTAAGCACAGAGCGAGGCGGCGTGGCACAGGAAGTGGGGCAGCAGTGCCCCAAGCTCTCCTTCCCCCCCACATCCACCCAATCTGCTGTTTTGAGAGGGGAAACCAAATATTTACCCCTCCATCCCCATCTGCACGGCTGAGTGAGAGCGGGTGCCAGGAGGAGGACAAGAGGCGTCTGTAGAGGTTCCTGGGGGAAGGAAGGAACGATGCAGATCCAGGGAGTACACAGAGTTTGCTGGCAGCCCTCGAGCAGCACCCAGGGCAGGTGGCACCCAGCCAGGACTGGTCCCATCCTGCCCAGACGCCGTATCAGGCTGCTCCCGTGCCGGGGCTTTGGTTTGCCAGTAGGGGCACGTGTCAGGGCCACCCTCACCAGTCTCTCCCTGTTTGACGCTTGGGCTCTGGGCAGCCGGAGCTGGGAGCCACCCATACCCAGGCGGGTGCAGCTCACAGGCTCCAGAGCTGGCTGCACGATTCACTGCCCGGCTGCCTCCCTGCTGTGCTCGTAGCCAATATGCAAGGCACAGCCACAGCTCTCCCTCAGCCTCCTGCTCCTGGATAATCCCTCCTTGCAATTCTGCGCGTCACTGGGGTAGTGTGTATGTGTGGGAGATAGAAGAGCGGGGGGAAATCAGGCAGACAGACCCAGACTCCTGCCCACTGATGAGCTCTCCACACTCATCCCATGGCAAATCACGCCAGAGCAAGGCAGGTACATTTGTAATGACGTTGCATCTTGAAGTCCCCTGCTCATTGTTTTGCATAGATCTGCCCTGTCAAGTCTCAGCCATCACAGCATAATGCCGAGCAGCCTCCTCCTTCTGTCAGGAGTCCTCAGGGCATCTCCTGAAGATCAGACCTAGTTAAATTCTCTGGTTTCTGTGCAAAGCCCCCCAGACCGTGACAGCAGTGCTCAGTTGCCTGCAGCAGTTAAGGGCGTGCATGTGTGAACGGACATTTCCAGCTCTGCATAGATGGGCTCTTCTGCCATTTCACGTCAGCATCAATCTGCCTATTAATGTGCCTGTTGTTGTGCCTCGTGTTCCTAAATGAGAGAGAAGGAGAGATTTCCAGCCCTCACCATTCTGATGTGGTCAGCACTCCCCAAATTTGGTGTCGAGTCAAAGGCTGACCGGATAGAAGCCCAGGTTTGGAGTATCTCCCCAAAGCAGAGGATATTCAAAGGAAACCCTTTCCAGGAGCCCCAGGAACACAAACATCAGCCCTGCTTCTGCTGAACAAGACTCGCACACAAACCCCCATGGGCCAAGCCTGACCAGGACGATGCTCACAAGACCACGCGATCACAGGGAACCGCTGAACGCGGCAAAGCACGGCCCTGAGCACACCCTGTCCTGCTTCCCCCGCTGGTACCCCGGCATTAAACTTGCCTCCTGCAGGACTTCTTCCAGCCCCAGGCCACTGGCCCTAAGACATCAAGGAGCCTCAGCCAAAGCTGCCCGGCCACATCAGGCTCACATACAGTCCCTGGCCCACCCCGACGACACACGCTTGCCCAAAGGAGAAGCGGCAGGCACGGAGCAGCGAGACTTGCCCTTCCTTTGAGTGGAACCTCCAGTGCAATGATTGCTGAGCTAATGGCTGCCCAGCAGCAGGAGAGTGGGCAGGGAGCCCAGCCCTCGGCTCTGGGGAAGCAGTAAACATCACCACCTCCTGTCAGGCGGCTGCTGCTCCCGCTCTTGTTTGCTTAACAAATCATCAGGTGCTATAAACCCAACCAGCACATCTGCTTGAAACCACACCCAGCCCTCCCTGCATGCTGGCTAAACCCCGGGCTCTGTGCACCGAACGGAGCGTGGCCAGGCATCAGCACAAGGGGAATCAAACAGGTCAGTGAAAAGCAGAGGCTAGCAGGTGGCGAGAGAAACTCAGATCACCAGAAAACACTGAGCCAGCAGCCTAAGAGAAGCTGTTTCAAGCTCCCCTACGTCCTGGAGTACCAGTGTCCTGCCACGCTCAGCAGAGTGACGAAGAGCCGACATTTTCTCCATTCTCTCCTTTGCTGTTGCCGGCAGTCACGAGCACAAAGCAAAGAGAAGTCCCCATCAGGCGTGGCCATTGTCCC